GATTGACGGGGCTCAGGCAGTCTCCTCTGAGAAGCCCCAGGAATCTTTTTGCATTAAGCTTTATAGATTTTTTTTTAGCCCGAGTGTAACAGGCTTGAAATAGGAGAAGTAAGTGGGAGCGTTTACACAAAGGCACCCCAACTCCCAACCTGGACCATGGAGGCAAGTCAAATCTCATTTCCCACTGCACAATGGTGTAAATCCGGATTCCAGTCCTGGAAATCCATCCTACACCCCGAAATACCTAAATGCATTAAAAATGGAGATACCAAAAAAAAAAAAAAAACTGGAGATACAGGCTTTTACAAACATTTGTTAATATGTAAAACCGTTTAAACTATGTTCCTGTTGGGAATTTTTCCCATCCCGTGGGCTGCACCGGTTAAAACTTACCGTACCAATCTAATGCCGTGGACTAAACACACTCTTTTTATACCTGGTAAATCTTTGTCTCTGCCAAAGGAGTCACTGATAAATCTTTATTCTCATCAGCCACCTACTGCAGACTGAACGTCTGTGTCCCCCCAAAATTCGTATGTTGAAACCTAACCCCCAACGAGACAGTATTTGTAAGTGGGGCCTTTGGGAGGTGATTAGAATGGGATCGGTGCCCTTAAAAAAGAGGCCCCAGAGAGTTCCTGGTCCCTTCCACCATGTGAGGACACAGCAAAAAGTTGAGCCCTTACCACACTCCGAATCGGCCGGTGCCTTGATTTTGGACTTGCCGTCAGAACTGAGAGGAAGAAATCTCTGTTGTTGACGAGCCACCCAGTCCACGGTAATTTGCTGTAGCAGTCTGCATGGCCTGACGCTGCCCTCCCCCTCAGTCTGTTCCACATCCTGCCCCCTCTCACCACGCTTTGTTTTTCCACGCGCAGGACAAGTGTGGGAGTGGTCAGGCAGACCCTCCAGCCAGCTCTGGGAAAGGTGAGGGGCTGCACCTCTCAAGGGGTCCCTCCAGAAATTGATCTCCAGGGCCACCACTGGCCACCACTCCCTGCACTGCCCACACCATGTGCAGCCCTGGCAGGGTGCACTGCAGGACACCACTCTGTGTTCTGGCCCTGTGCTCCTAGGCACTTCAGGACGGAAATGGCTGTCTTGTTCCATATTTGGCAAATTTACAAATATAAAGGCATAGTATGCAGATTACTGTTTGAGAGGCCAATTTGGAGAAGTCCTTCTGATTAAAAACTTAGTGGAAAGATTTTTCCAAAAAGATGACGAAGGTACATCCTATATATATCGATACTATATACTATGGAGGGACTAGAGAAGGCAAGTTTCCTGTAGATCAATTTGGCAAAATGCAGTAAAATCACTAAAAAATATTGCTACCCTTGACCCAGTGATTGCAGTTTTAGATATTAATCCTAAGGAAAAATCAGATTCAGCAAAGTCTCAGGCCAAAGGTCATTCAGTTATGATATTTCCCACCCTCAAAGCTGCCAGGAGGGCCCTTCCTCCTGATCTCAACCCAGAGAGGCAGCTGAGGACTTAGCCCCTGGAGCCTGCCTGGAGGTTACCCCAGATGTCTTGGTTTTGGTTTGGCTGTCTTGAAGGGAGTTTGCCACAGGTTTTTATGGAATTCCAGAAGGGAGAGCAGGAGCTTGAGAATAAACTGGGAGGGAGACAGGGAGAAATGGACACTCACGGCATGACTTCCTGCAGGTACCCAGGAAGGCGCCCTGCGAAGCACAGGAGAAGATGCCCGTCCTAAAGTCAAGGCGGAGTAACCAACTGCTGTTCCTGGGAATCATGACACTCACAGTCACAGTGATCTTCCTGCTGTTCTTTGCTCTCCTCTGGAAGGCCGGCAACCTTATCGACTTGCCCAACCTCAGAATTGGGTTCTACAACTTCTGTCTTTGGAACGAGGGCACTAGAGCCCTACAGTGTCACCAGTTCCCTGAGCTGGAGGTCCTGGGGGTGCCTCGAGTTGGCCTGGCCCTGGCCAGGCTTGGCGTGTACGGGGCCCTGGTCCTCACCCTCTTCGTGCCCCTGCCTCTCCTCCTGGCCTGGTGCAACAGTAACGAGGGAGAGTGGCAGCTGGCCGTGGGCTTCCTGGCCACGTCCTCCATGCTGCTGGCCAGCGGCCTGGGCCTCTTCCTCACCTACACATGGAAGTGGCTCCGGCTCTCCCTCCTGGGGCCTGGGTTTCTAGCTCTGGGTGTTGCCCAGGGCTTACTCATCCTCTTGCTTATGGCCACAGTCGTGTTCCCTCAGAGGGCAAAGGACAAGAACTTGACAGCTGCTAGCTCTGTCTAAAGGCTTACGTGATTGCAAGGGTTCTCTTTGAACTATGCTCAGAGAAGCTGCCAGAGAATTCACGGGCTGCTGTGTCTTCTCAGCCATCCTGTTTCATAGCTAATGCTGATCTCAAGACTAGCACACGGGACCCACCGCGGAGGGGGTAGGGCACCCGACGTCAAGGACAGGCAGCAAGGGCGGCCAGGGCTCCCTCGGCCACTTAGTGTAGGGTTGTGCGTCCTTTGGGACTTTTAAGGTTCCCAAGGTCACCCTAAAACCACACAGCTCATTGTCACAAGAATTCCTGCTTTAACTAACTGATCTGAGCAAGCCATTCTTACTTTATCCTCAGAACAATGGGGAGATAAGGCTTCCTGTCATGGGGCCAGATTTCCAGTACAAGCTGCCAAATGCCAGACTGGAACCCAGTGAGGGTTTATGAAGAAACACCTCAGGGTCCCTGGGGGCCCTGCCTGGCAAGCTCCCCATCTCCATCCAAGGCGGGTAGAACGCGATGAGCCCCTCACCTCTGACAACGCTCCCAAAGGCCCAGGAATAATCTGAGGGATTCACCGAAGACAGAACACATGGGCACAAAGAGCAGCCTTGGTGGCTTTGAAGGTTCCCCTGAAAAGGCTCCCGGCTCCCTGAAGGCTCCCTGAAGCCCAACAGAGCAGGGGATCAGCGGGCAAATCCCTCCCAGCACGTGACCTGGGAGTTCAGGAGCCGAAGACACCGGGTCCCTGGTCAGGAGAGGAAGGTGAACAGTACTGAATGGTTCCACATCCACGTGAATGCTGCATCCCCTCACCTCTCACCCTGGGCCCAGAAAGGATACAAGCACAACTCACGCACTGGGGAGCTTTGTGTATTTTTCAGCACCTATATATTGAAAACCTGTACAGCACGTGATTGCCTCATCCTATGCCTGTCAAAAGCCACACTGAATACAGAAGCAGAAACACGGACTCTAGTGTGATGTCTTGTCCTTGGTGTCTCCTTTGGGTTCCTGTCCCACTCTTGCTTTCTGACTGTCCAGGGACCAAGGCCGAGGCCACCAAGTGGAAGAAAGGTGGCAGCTCGGGGGGAGGAGGCCTGACTGGTCAGGAGGCTTCCCAATCTGTACGCTGAGCCTCAGGCTCCTGGACGGAGCCCAGCACTGTGGCAGGATGTCTGGTTCAGGGCTGGACGAGCAAGGGCTCACAGACTGATCGACTGCCTCGTGATGAAGGCTATCTTTAAAATAGGTTTCCTCCTTAGGGAGGCCAAACAGTAGGAATTCCAGTGTACGTAGCAGCCATACTTGTTTTTCTTTAAACATTATTAAGGTGACTCTTTGGTTCCAGTAAGTTGACCACCACAACCTCATCTCCCTGGAACCAGGTAACTGAACACAACAGACTGTGGGGATCCCAGACCCTCTGAGCAAGGAGAGAGCACAGTGCAGGGAGGATCTCTAACGGGAGCTCATTCTGATTCCTCACTTCCCAAGGTGAATCTGCGCAGCCCAGAAAGGCGCAAAGCTGGGAGCAGAAGCCGTGACAGTCTGAGGGCAGCGCCCAGGCCAAGAGGGAAACCCCGCTTCCTTCAGCCACTCTGGGCAGAAAGTCCTGGAAGTTTGTCCCTTAGCTGAAAAATATCTCTCTGACGTATTTTAGCGCATCCTGGTCCTCCCCGAGTTCTCTGCCGCAGGCCGAGTCAGAACCTGCAGGCCCCAGAGGAGGGCCGTCTTCCCCACAGTCCTCGTCCTCGCTGTCCTCGCTTCTGCTCCCGCGGGGACTCGGGGACGGCGGCGCTGAGCTGGCCGGGGACTGCTCTGGCTTATCAGCGCCTGCCAGAGGCAGCTGTTCCAACGGCTTTTCCTGTTTTCGGCCCTGCTGAGTAGAAGCAATGGCAGGCAAAACAGACGGGGGTTTACTTCCCTAACGTGCTGGTTTATCTGTCGGTGACGCAGAACATGCCCAGAAGCAACTGTGAAGCCAGCACAGGACGAGTCAGGCCCTGCCCCCAAATCACAGGTGGCCCCTCCCTCCCTTCACCCGACCCCTCCCCTCCCCGCCACCCCTTCTCAGATGGTGCAGGAGTAGAGACCAGCTTGGGAGAGCAGGGGCAGGGGCCTGAGGAATAGCGCCACAGGAAAGAAAACTAGAATAAATGTACGTGGAAAGGCAGGGTGACAGAATGCAAGGAGCACAGGAGACGAACCCCGAGTGCGGGCCTTAGCCTCTCCCTTACTGGCACCAAATCACTTATTGTAACTAATAATAATATCTATCAGCAGGTTATTGCAAGGAACAAATGCGATAGGAATATATAAAAGTCCCTGAGCAACTATCAAGTACTATCAAGTACTACCAACTACCAAGTACAACTCTAACGTGGGACAGTTATCATTCGCTTCCGGAAGCCAAGACACTCAGCAGCGTGGTGCTCCATATGGCGCTCAGAAGTCACCTCGCCCGACTGAGACCCTCCAGAGAACATGAGCAGTTAACAACTTCTGTCCCGTCCCCACGCCACCAGCACAGAGTCACCCAAACAGAGAGAGCTGCCCTCCCTCGCACAGCTGCGCCCTCCCAGGTCTCCAGCCCCAAGCGGGTGCCCACCAACCAGGGAGCGGGCTGCGGATGAGCGGGCTCCTGGCCACCCCAGCAGGCAGGGCTCCTGTTTTATTAGCATGAACCAGGCCCTGGTCTAGTTTCTGCCCACCAAGAGTTTCTGGTCATAAGAAAAGACACAGCTGACTTTACCTCAATCAGGATCCCTAGAGCAACGTCTACAATTTCAGCTTCATTCATGCAGTACACAGTCCTCATGGCAGGAAGTCTGAAAGAAAGGCACAAAGCTAGAGATGGCACGGAATCACCAGGAGGAGAGAATGAGAGCAAGAGCTGCGTCTCAGGGCCTGCCCACCAGGGGTGACAGCAGCAGCTTCCCCAGGGCACCAACGTGGCTTCTGCATCCTTGTAACCAGTGACTGGCACAGGGGGTTCTCGGGGCAACAGTGTGGGGCTTCCCAGCCTCCACCAGCTCCCCTGAGGATCTGGAAACAGGGCACGATGGCCGGCTTCTGAGAGTCAAACTCACACACACGGTGGATGCGAGCATATCGAACAAGCCAAGACACAACCCACCCCCCTCCCACCGCAGTGCATGAACACAGTAAAGGAGGGCTGCACAGACCAGAAATCACGGCTGGCCAATGAAGAAAACTTAGAAAGGGAAGGGCAGAGAGGGACAGTGAGCGCCTGGGACCACGAGGGGAGAGGGCAGGGACATCCCCTCCATGGCAGCCCAGAAACCCCCGCCATTACCACCATTCAACTAACCCACCCCACGGCCTCTGATCTCAGGCCGGCACAGTAACCTGTAGTTTGTCCACCTGTCCCTGAAGATCTACCCGCAGGGAGCCTGGACCACCTCGTCACTCATCTTGCCAGCGGATGGTCACAATTTCTGTGGCAAGAGAAGAGACTGGCAATTTGGACAACTGGCGTCTGAGAGCTTGGCTGGTGTGTGTGACACGAGAGGGGGAGCCACTATCCGGGAACTGACAAGTGAGGGTCTGGCGGTGGAGATTCACCAGGAGAGGCAGAAGCCGGTGCCAGTCTGGGAGGGCACAGCTCACTTCCTGTGCACCCCCCGAGAGCTGATGAGAGGTCTGTGGACTGAAACACCCCACCTCACCGTTCTGCCAACACGGGAAGAGTGGGCCCCGGCAACTGTGATGCCCCAAATCCCTCCCCCTGTCCTAATTCCCCAGGAGGACCAGAAGCTGCCCCACCTTGCTGCAGCCACTGGCACCGTGGCTGTTCTCCTCTTGGGGGTCTTCACCTGCACTGTCCTCTTTTCAGCCACCTGGGCTGTCATCCATGCGGGAAGCACCCTTTTTTTATTCTCAGATTTTAAGTCTTCCATCTCCCTAGTCTCTCATGAAGAGGAACCAGGGCCCAAGCTTAATGACTTCAGGACAGCAAATCCCACTCTCTCATCACACCAGGAATTATAGGTCTGTTTGTCCTGAATGGGAGTCCAGCTTTAATTCCTACAAAGAAGAACAAAGACCAGTGAATTCTAATAAGCGAGAATACTCCCAGGCATCAGCCGAAATTACTGGTCAGGGCAGGGCCCAGGAGACGCAGATGTGCCGTTCACAGGGCATGAAGGGACAGGCGAGGGGCTCAGGGAGAAGCAGCCCTCCACGCAGGGCCCAGGGACCCCACCGGCAGCCAGGCCCAACGCCTCCAGAAGCCTCTGCACTGAGCCATTCCACACGGGAGGAGTGGCATGAACACCCTCCCAGGAGGAAAGAGGGAGGGAGGTGCCCCTGCTCCTCTCCACCGCAGAGGCTCACGGTCCCCAGGGTGTCCAGACTACCCTACCCTTAAGACACCTCTCCAAGATCTCTCCCCTGTTTCTCCCAACCACAGACTTCTCATTCCCTCTTCTGGGAGCGGTTATAAGAAATTCCAAGGCCATTTTGATTCACAATGAGGTTTCATCGGCCGACACCCACTCCCTTACACCAAAGATACTTCTGACCCGTCAGATTTCAGCCAGCAGTAGGGTCAGGAATCCAGAAGCTGGGGCGCCGGGCTGGGGGGAGTGTCTCACCTTACCGGGCCTCTCCCCACCCTCACTGGATTCCACCTCAGCCCCTCCTCCTAAAGCTCAGCCCCAACCCTGTGACTCAAAGGGTGCAGGGCTCCACCCTCCACTTAGCAGTTAACCCTGAAGGCAGCTGCGGGCGCCTTCTGCCTAAATTCAAGCGGTGCTAATACTCATTCCCACATCTAACGAGCACCGCTAACCGCCCGGCACAAACAGCGCGGCGGTCGGTGCACACACTGATTTGACCGTGAGGTAGATATTCTGAAGCGTACTTAACAGATAAGGAACTGAGACGGAGCAGTATGCACAAAGTCACAAAAAAGTTTGAAATGGCCGGCCGGGACACGCACCCGGGTCCTCCAGACTCCGCCGGCTGGGGGTGGGTGACGGCCTGGGACGCCCCGGCGCGGCCCCGCGGGCGCGTGCCCAGCCCAGAGCTCCCGATTCTCAGCCGCCGCAGCCTTCGGGGACCCCGCGCCGTCCTGGCGCGACCAGACCGGTGCCGACCTGCAGGAGGAGGGCGAGGGGGGACGCGCGACAACCACGCGGAGCCTCACCGGTAACAGCACCGCCCGCGTCCCCGGCGCTCCTCCAGCAGGGCTTCCTGCCTCCGGGCCCGCGCCCCCTTCTTGGCTTCCGGGGTGGGTCCGGGAGTCTGATTCTGGGCGGTAGCAGGGAACTCGGAGCCCGGCCGGCCGGGCTCCGACCCCGCGCGCACCGTGACCCTTCCCCCGGCTCGGCCGCGTCCCCGCACTTCCGGCTTCCGGCCGCCCGCGGGCGCGGAGGCCCGGGCGCGCCCCCTGTCGGCAGATCGCGTTGTCTGCGCCCTCGGCTGTGGAGCCCTGATTCCCTAGCTGATGGGAGACGCCGGCCCCGCTGTCCCGGGTCCTGACAGTCTCTCCTTGACCGCATCCAGGTCGGGCTCCTCTCTGAACTCTTCTCAGCTAGGCCCTGACTTTTGGACTTCCGTGTGCATCTCCAAATTGTCCATTTTTAGCAAGAATACTGCTAAGTTGATCTAACCAAAGTCCACCCATCCCCCGCATCTGATCCTCACCCGCCACCATCTTCCAGGTGGTGTCTAATCACCCGGCCGCCCTCAGCAAGAATCCTGTTAGGTCAATTTAGCCAGAATCCCCTCTTACTCCTATGTTTCCTGTTAATAATCATCCATCCACCGACCCCCCCCCCCCCCTGCCACTTTTCCTTGTATTGGGAGTTGAGCCCAACTTCGCCCCCACTGCAAAACCCTACTGAGTAGCCCCCTCGAATAAAGTTTGCCTTACTTGTCTTTAACAAATGTCATAAATAATTTTTAACAATATTTTTTCTTTAACAGTTCCCAAACGTGGCTCCATTTGAGGCTTGCTGGATAAGACTCTGTTAAAGTGTCAATTCCCAGCCCTCGCCCCCCACCAGAAATTAGGGGGAGGGGATCTGCATTTTTGAAAGCTCTGCTGGGGAAGGGCAGAGGCGCAGTGCTCCCTGCTGGAGGCATGCACTCCCAGGCAAGGAGGGTGCAAGGTGAGCCCCCCACCCCCCGCTGCAGGAAGGGAAATTAAAGATTCTGTTTACATTTCAAATTGGCCAGAGGTGTTCTGTGAACAGGGCTGCTCCACGAGGCTGCCCAGATGTCCTCACTGCTTTGCTTTCAGCCTGATGCTGAGCACTGCAGTTTACACGTGGAGTTAGCATCTAGTTTAACTTAGAATCACACAGGTTGAAGTAGCTTAAAAGACAGACAAAAAAAACCCCAGGTGGCACACATCACTAAAAACACAAGGACAAGTGCAGATGGTGAAACTTCTACCACATTTTGAGGCAAAAGGATGATCAGAACCAACCATCTACCCCCCCAAAATGCAAAATTATCAAGACAGCCACTTGAAATGTGACTTACAACAAATCAGCTAATAATAGAATAATTACTCTCCATATGCTACAGGTGCAGGATAGGGGAGTGTGATCCAGAGTTTGGAGAATCCAGAGCCAGGAGTTCTCACTTCCAACTGTGTGTGCCTTTGGTTTCTGCAAAGCATTTTCACCCCATACTAATCCTCAATCCTAGGGAAGTAGGCTGGTCCAGGAAAGTTTAAATCAATCAAGGCTTAAGGAGTAAATCAGTGATTTCAAGTCACAAAACCAACCTGCTGTGCATTGGGGTAATTTAGCTGCGGGCTGAACCTGGGCTCTGCCTCCAGCCTCTTCAGGCGGCCAACCCTTCCAGGCAGGACTTGCTTCTCCTCTGATTCCCTAAAGGTTCCAAAATCACTGACCTCTAGGGTCCTCTGCTCCCACGGTCTGTGAGCCAGGACAAATCCAAGTCTGATGGGTGGAGATGCATCATTTTGTTTTAATAAAGGAACAGAGAACACTTGCCATTATGAGAACCAGTCCCTCCACCTTTTTCTCAAAAACCTTCTCCCATAGCCAGCCGAAAAATGGGGTCTGAGGAGCAGGAAACCCATCTGCATAAAAAACTTTCTGTGTAAAAGGCCAAATAGGGATGAGAAACCCCAGCTGTGGGATTTGAATGGGTGGGAATCAGCTCCTGAAGCATTTTGAATGCTGAGTTCAGGGAGTCTGAGGTCTTGGAGCAGAAGCAGGCAAGCGCACACAGGTCCCAAGGACTAGGGGAATGCACCTCACTGTTCTCGTGCAGCCCAGCCCAGAGCCAGGCTACACCTGCGCAGGCTTGGGGGCCTGAGGCTGGACTGGCTTGATGGTTTTCATCTAGTTGCCCTTGCCCAAGCTAGTGGAGGAGTCTTGCTGGCATTCTCGGGTAGATGTCAAGCAGGTATTGTGAAGATGTGAATTTTTTTTTTTTGGCTGTGTTGGCTCTTCATTGCTGCACTCTTCGTTGTGGTGCGCAGGCTTCTCATTGTGGTGGCTTCTCCTGTCGCGGAGTACGGGCTGTAGGCGCGCGGGCTTCAGTAGTTGTGGCTCGCAGGCTCTAGAGCGCAGGCTCAGTAGTTGTGGTGCACGGGCTTAGTTGTTCTGCGGCATGTGCGATCTTCCTAGAGGTCAAGACAAGGGCTCGAACCAGTGTCCCTGGCATTGGCAGGCAGATTCTTAACCACTGAGCCACCAGGGGAGTCCCTGAATTTAAGTTTTTGTTTTTGTTTTTTTTGCAGTACGCAGGCCTCTCACTGTTGTGGCCTCTCCCATTGCAGAGCACAGGCTCCGGACGCGCAGGCTCAGCGGCCATGGCTCACGGGCCCAGCCGCTCCGCGGCACGTGGCATCTTCCCGGACCAGGGCACGAACCCGCGTCCCCTGCATCGGCAGGCGGACTCTCAACCACTGCGCCACCAGGGAAGCCCTGAATTTAAGTTTTGACATGCGTTATTGGAGGATGAGAGCTCATCTTGGAGGGGTGAGGAAGTGGGACAGGGAGGAACGCCAGGATGAATGCATGCTGACAAGCACTCAGGATGGGGTGGAGGTCAGAGAGAGATAGGCCAGGAGGGGACAGGGTGGCCCGCTGCACATATCGTACTTGCTAATTTCAAAAGGTCAGAGGTTAATGGTGTTTTGGTTTTGTGTTTTTAGGCAGCTTCAAAGTGATGTGGAAGCCCCACCTCAATCCCTCCTGGTGGAGCCTCAGTCACATCAGCTATGAGCCAAGCTCAAAACAAGAGGGAGACAGGTATCCAACCCAGAGCATAAAGGAAATGAGAGAAGAGACAGCTCTTCAACTGTTTTCTACAAACCTTAAAGACATTTCAGCAAACTGTGGAGACCGTATTGAGAGAAGAGAATGGGCAGTAAGACAGAAACTTCGAGATGGAGAGAGGAAAAGCTAAACAATGAATTCTCTCACTCAAATGAAACACATGACCACTTTTTAAATGTCCTACAGAATTACTGGGAGAGATCAATAAGGTTGCTCATTCAATGCAGAAGATGGGAAAAATTATAAATGGAAAAGTCTTGAGTTTGTTCATCTGAAGGAGGATTACCAGGTGGAAATGGGCAACAATGTGTAAGTAACTACTTATCACTAAGTCTCTGGTGTTATCTCATAATTGAGCCACACAAACACCTCCCTGCTTTCCTCCCAACTCCCAGCAGATCAGAGCCAAAGCTTTAGTACCAATCTCTTCATGATTTTCCAAAAGTAGGTAACTGGGAGCACTCCCACACCAGACCTGCACCCCGGATCTGGGCTGGAGCCTCTGCAACAACTATTCTGAGCAGCTTGGTGACAAACTGCCCCTGTCAAGTGTCAGAGCCCGAGGTCCAGGCCTGAAATCCCACCGCCTCAGGTGGAAATGCAAGTGGGAGAACGGAGTCATTTTCCTGTTCCTCTCCACCCTGTGAGGGCATCTGCCTCTTCAAGGTCCCACCCCAGCCAGGGAGCAAAGGGCCGGGCTGTGGACACACGCGGATGGTGTGAACCCTAGGTTCCAGGCCGGCACCTGGCCGACTTGCTCCTGTCCTCTGGCCACTCACCAGCAGAGGGCGCTGGAGGCCGGCTTTGTTCAAACTTAGGGAAGTGAGGTTGAAAGAATGGGAGGAACCACCATCACCCAGATGGAGAGGGGCAGATGCCTCAGACCCTGCACTTGTCCTAACAAAAGCTGCCAACTCTCAGGGTAAAAAAGACACCATGGCCTCCTTGACATGAGCCCAAAGAAAGGGGAACGGCACAAACCTTGGTTAGCCAACGGAGCAGTAGAGAGAGGACGTCCTACATCCGTGGCAAAGCAACAAGCAAACCTCCAATAAAGGTCAGCCCCATGGCTGGTGAGGTAAGAGCTGGGGCGCAGGGCCGAAGCTCACAATGACCATCGCCAGGGCAAAGGGTGAAGGGAGATGCTCTGCTGCACGCATACGTTCCAAAAAGAGACACCAGGTGACCACAATAACATTCTTTTTTTAAAAAAGAAAACTGAGCGAATATATACAAAATACTTTCAATCTCTTCTAGGCCAACAGAGCAGCCATCACAATGTTTCTCCTGCTTCCTGAGCTTTCCTCCCACCGTCTGGAGCCTGCTCCTGGCAGAGGCCAGCGTGCCGATGTCTGGGGAACACGTGCCACAGTTCTACATGGCTCCTGTTCTCGTCAGGCAGCTGGACAGTGCCCGAGCCCCCTGGGCAGCCTCTCCCTGAAGACTCCCCACCCTGGCAGGGAGCCGGAAGGGGAGCGCCTTGTCTTCCTGAGCCATCTCTGCCTGCCTCCCAGGATAATACTGTTTCCGTGGGTGGCCCTTGGGGCGGGCCCCATCAGACTTTATGGGCCAGGAGGGTGGTCAGCTTGATCTTGCCGTCCATGGAGGCAGTGAGGCAGGTCCCGCAGTCCACGGCTGTGCTCCAGTCCACGGTGACCACAGGGGCGCGGTGGCCACCCAGGCTCAAACAACTCTCCAGAACCTTCTCCTCCCCGCCCAGCTGCAAGGGGACAGGAGAGATGAGGTTGCATAATCAGGCACTGCTCACAAACACATCCACTTTATCCACTTTCGGTGGCCAAGCTGTCTCGAGCCTGGGGGCTGCCACCCCAAGCTGAGAACATGCCCAGGCACACAGGTCCCCCCTTCCAGAAAGTCTCAGGTTCGTTGCTTGGACCAGGAAATATCTTCACTTTCCCGACTACAGTTACTCCTTCAGCTGAAGTAGGAAATAAGTCCCTAATATGCTCTGAAAGACACAATTTTCCCTGCCACCTTTAACCTGCTGTGAGCCATGACTCCTGCTCGTGCCCGGTGTTCTCTTCCAGCACCATCTACCGCTCCCAGCTTCATATCATGTATCTGCCTCTCTGTTTTACATTTGCTTCCCCCAGGGAACACCAGCGGCAGGAGGGCAGGAGGGCAGGAGGGCAGGAGGGCAGGGTCTTGGTGATTCGCTGCCGTGCAGCCCGCACACACCCAGAGAGCAGTGCTGGCACCGGAGGCCCTGGGTCAGGGCACAAACACGGCTCTCCTCTGTGCCGCCAGCACCTGCTGTCCGGGACTCATGTGCACAGGTGTGAGGGGTCAGAAGGTGATAAGGAAGGGAAACCAGGAGCAGACTATCAATCCAGCTACATGTAACATCCATGAGCAAGAGAGAGGAAGTATTCAGCCTTCACGGGGAAAACATCTTTAACAATCATGGATTGTTTATAGATTGTAAAAATGGGACCTGAAGGTCATTATATTCCTTAAGTAATTAGACCCCATTTTTGACATTTTTTAAATGACAGAGGAAAATCTTTCAACCCGTTAACTGGTTATAGAGAAAGTCTGACTGCAAACCATATGAACTGATCAGGACAAATGATAAAGCCTGCACGATCAAAAATAAAGTAATATACACACATACACAATCATACAGAGAGCAAAGGAGAGCCCACCTGAAACTCAACTAAATCTAAATAATAAAATAAAATTAGGCTTGTAAACAGAAAACTTTTTACAATATCTCCCGATAGCAATTACAAGAAATTATGGAGCTTTATGAAACCACCACACTGTACACCTTAAATATATACAATTTTTGCCAACTGTACCTCAATAAAACTTTTAAAAGATTTTTAAATGTATATGTTTAAATAAATAATTAAAAATAAAGTGTGGAACTAATTTTTAAGGAGAGGGCAAGAGCCACCCAGATCATCACCATCTGCGGAAAAGAGGAGCCTGGGTGACAGTAAACCCAGGCTTCCCAGTGCCACACTCAAGGTCAACAGTCCAGAAGCCTCATTACTTGCCACTTCAGCAGCCCCCTTCCCCCTCGCCCCACCGTGTGCCCTTGCTCCCCTCTGCCCTGTGGAGCCCCAAAGCCCAGCTTCCTCCACATCCTCCCAACCCCTCCTCCTCCGAAGGCCTCAAATCCACAGACAGCCCCCCTGCCCAGTCCTCCCTGAGGATTCGGCCCCCACCCGGCTTCCTCCCCTGGGGGCCCTCGGCTCTGTACTGTGGTCACTGTTGGTGCTTGCTCTAAATTGAGCGTGAGCCCCAGGAGAGCGGGGCCACACTCTCCGTCTCCTGTGTGCACTGCCCAGGGCCAAGGACACGCCCGCAGGCAGCTGCCGTCCAGAGCACCGGCTGCCCGCCGGCTGTGAGCCACGCGAGGCGAGCTCGGGGAGCCCCAGAGAAAGAGCATCCCACTCCATGACTCTACCTGCAGACGAAACACCGCCAGGCAGAGAGCTAACACTGAGGCTCAGAACTGAATCCACGTGGCAACGCGGAACCAGACCATGTGCTTAGACCACGACACAAATCCTCATCCCTAGTCTATTTGGTAGCGCTAGTAAAATAGGAGAGATTCATAATTTCGTTCAATCATACGTCCAAAAAAAAGTACATGAACCAGAGAGGCTGTGACATGAGAATTAAAATAAGCAGATAAACTGAGTGGACAGCTTACATCCCGTGTGACAAATCACACCCCCCGGATTTCTGTCCCAGCCATGGATTGTAACGTCCTTGACCCACAGGACCTCCCATAAACAATAAACCTACACCAGATTAGAGTACCTGGAACAGACCACCTAGGCACCCTCCTGTTTGGGGTATGTCCCCCCAAACCAACCTACAGCCCTTCTCCCTAGCTCTTGAGGTTTCTATAGTTGGTATTATTCCCAAGGAGGGAGGCAGAAAAGGGACAGAGTCTCGTCCAAGGACAGTGACAGGCGAGCAGAGAGGATGACATGCCACACTCATGCCCACTCCCGCCTGCTCCCTCGAGCCGGCCTGCAGCCGCGAGGCCCAGGCGCTGTCCATCCCGGGTCAAAGCCTTCTCCACAGGCATCGGGGAGGGACAGAGATTGGGACAGAGACAGGGACAGAGGCTCGAACTCAACCGGTCCCAGACCTCCGAGGAGGAACCTCCCTGCCACCACCCGCCAGGTACCTTGTAGATGACGCCCCCTGTGGCAGAGCACGTCAGCATGTAATTCCCCTCCGAGTCAAAAGCGAAGAGTCGGCCCCGGGGGACCTGGACCTGCTTGTAGCCGCTGTAACCCGACAGCACGAAGGGGCCCGTGGCGTCAGCGGGGAGGCCGTACTCGGACACCTTCAGGCCGCTCTTGTGGATGTTCCACTGGATGAACTGCAACCGCAAAGCACAAGCTCGGCATTCTCAGTGGGCCGGCAACAGAGTCCAGGTCCGGGGGGAGGAGAGAGGACAGGCCCCAGGAAAGAGGAGGTGGGTCCACAGGCCCCGGGAAAGGTAGTGAGATGACCACCCAGTCCCGACTCTTCCCAACACAATTTAAGCATTTTCTTAAGGGAAGAAAATCTAGAAAGAGTCAGCCACTTCATGTCAAAGCCTGAACTTTCTCTCTGGCCTGACTCCAGGAAAGGGAAGAGGCAGGCAACAGCCTTCGCCTGGATTCCCATCTCTCAAGCAAGGGCAATGCTCCAATGATTGTTATTATTACTGTTGTTGTTGTTGTCATTATTAATATTACTGTCAGGGTTAGAACCCAGCTAGATTTTTCTTAAAAATAGGACAAGTTCCAAATACACTTCCAGTTTCTCAGCAGTGCAATCAATGCAACACAAGCAATGAGGGATAAGCTGAGCTTCACATTTTGCCCTTTAGCAAACAGCCCTTTAGCCCACCCAAGGGACAGGCTACCTGGGTGTGACCACCGCTTAACCGAGAATCCTACTCAAATAAATAGGAAGTAGAGCTTTGATTTAAAAATCCCCTCACAGTTTTCAAATGAAGAATTCATTTTGTAATTACTGTATTCATTGGATAATACAAGTGGATAGTATACAATCCAAAAGGTATAGGAGGGTACACATGAAAAGCTAGTTTTTCTCCCAGCTCTGCCTGCCCCAGCTCCCTTTCCAAGGATCCTAATGAATCTTTCCAGGGAGAATCTAAAGGGGGCACTTAATTTCTACTTTTTTCCCCAGCTTCCTTTTTACATTTCTTGACTGTTTGGGCGAAACTGTCTGCAGCCCCCAGCCCTGGCAAGCTCTACATATCCATGCTGTGACCACCCAATGACCAAGCTCACTGAAGTACATCCTGGCACCCCTGGGAGCCCACTGAGTCAGGTGGGTCAGTGAGATGAGTCCTTTTTGCTACAACCAGGAGGAAGGATGTAGGTCTCCCCCTTTCATTAGAACAGTCAACTCCCACTGAACTCATTTAAACCTCACAAAGACCCTGTGAGACTGGTTACTATTTTCATCTCTGTTTTACAGGTGACAAAACTGAGGCAGAGGCCCAAGGTCGCAGAGCTAGTAAAAAGTACAGTCGGGATTGGAACCCAGCCCGTCGTGCTATTCTGGTGCGCTCTAGAATCTCAGATGCCTAAGCCAGAGGAAGGGAGCTTCCCGACCCAAATCCCGTTCCCACCTACCTTCCCGTCCTCGCCAGTGCTGTACACAGTGTTCTCATCGTAGCTGAACTCCACAGAGCAGACCTCCCCGCAGTGGGCCTTCCAGCTCATGGCGCACTCATGCTGCTGCATATCTGAGGCAATGAGACGCCACTAGGATTCCCGCTCAGGCCCTGGGGAGACATCTGCCCACAGCAGGAGGTACCTCCCACCCTCCCTCTGCCCCATGGGTGGCAGAGGGCCTCCCAGACCCGACAGGAGTCACAGAGCTGACCCCTGGTGAAGAGTGGGCACTGGGTGCTTCATTTTACCAGTTCTCTCCTCCACTGCGCCTAGTCTTCTGCTAACCAATCTTAAATGGAAGCTTCTTTCACTGGGTCAAAAGTCAGGTTCAGGAATCCCTGGGTGGAGCCTGAGCTCATCTGGGGAGCCCATAAGTCTAGGAGGACACGTAAGTCCTTCCTGGGAGGGCGCTGTAACTTCCCACCAGGGAGCCCTGGAGATCGGTTAAAGATACAGTCCCCAGGGCCTTCCCAGACCCTCTGACTCTGGTCTCCTGGAACAGGCCTGGCGAGAGGAGCTTTAAACAGCACGCCAATGACTCTGACGCACACCGTTCTACTGCTCTCACGGGGACAATGAAGTGGTCACACCAAGAGGACAGGACGGCATTACTCTCTCGTATCCTCTTGGATCTCACTCGGGCCATGAGGACTCAGATCCAACAGCTCAGGACTGGAGGACTGCTAAGCTCCACGCCGCCTCCCCATGTCCACGGACACGGACCACATGCAAGGTAATTAGGGGGTCCTGAAAACAGCAGACTCTGACCAAAGTTAAGTTCTATTACAAGCACCTTGAACTGGGGTTTTGCAATAGCCCCTAGTCCAGCTGGCAAAAATCCAACTCTCTTCCCTGGGGCATTTGAGGAGGGGACCAGGATGGCCGCGAGCACGCTTGCCTACCAAACAGCCGGATGACACCATCAGCTGCCCCCGTGACCAACAGGTTCCCATTGTGATTGAAGGCTGTGCAGTTGATGGCAGTGGGCTCCGGATCCAGGGAGAACTGGAGCTAGAAAAAGGACAAACTAAATTTTAAAATGTAAGATGGTAATAAACCAAATTTCAAGACAGGTTCTGTTTGAAAGGGGGAAGGAGACCAAGATTGAGGAAGGGCACACCAGGGCATAAAAAGTGTCGGTAATGTCCCACTTTTAAACCATGATGGTAGATAGGTGCTCATTTCACGGTTCTTCTCATTATTCCGTACACCTATGATTTCAATATTCTCTTCTATGTATTCAATATTTAACGAAAAGTTGAAAAATAACAAGTGAACATAAAATTACAAATCATGACAAGTTCTTAGCACAAACTAACAAGATTAAAAAGGACCTAACCAGACTGGGTGGGTATAAAGGGGAGCATCTACGAGATGCTGGAGGACAGATGTCAGCCGGATGGAGTGGGGTAGGAACACTCTCGAGAGGGGACAGCATGCACAGAGGGCGTGTGGCTGCAGGATGAGGAGGACAGGAGGCACCAGGAGGTTGGAGCAGCAGGGAGGGCCAGGCCAGGCACGGCTCCAGGGGGTGTGGATGGGAAACCCGGAGGAGCAGCAAGGGGCAGGACCTGCCTCCATGTCTGCCCATCCCCCAGGTGCAGTGTGGCAGGTGGGCGCCATGGGGGGCGCTGTCCAGCAGCTGTCCAGCTGAGGGGTGCTAGCGGGCATGTCCCCGGAAATGGAGAGGAGTGTTCAGACTGGAAACAGGTTTTGGAGGTGGAACTGACAATGTCTGCTCCTGGACTGACTTCAGGGTGAGGGAGAAGGCTGGCTCCAGAAAGACACCTGATTTCTCAGTGGGACGCCATCTGCCAGGACGAGGGAGCTAGACAGCAAGAACTGACGTGGCAGGGTGGCCCTGACTGGCTGGAGAGACCTGCGAGGCTTCCAACTGGGAACAGGAAGGCGCAGAGAGGCACAAACGGAACACTCGGGACCCAGCCACCAACAAGACAGGGACGCTTCAAGTGTCCGGTACCAGCAGGAAACACGCTGCTGCAGGTAAGGGCCTGACCGCAACTGATTCTCCCAAGAAACACCACTGCCTTTTAAACAGGTTAGTGTAAACAGCACTGAGGCTCTCGGGATTCAGGGTCATAGCTGTGAGCATCCGCTACTGTTCTGGGTGGGAAGGCATCCTCCGCGCTGGGGAAGGTGAGTCACACGCCCTGTGAGCAAGCTTTCTCAAGACCGTCATTTCTTAAGAATACGCATGTGTCCTCACTGCTTCTAGCTGCTGCTGCAATTTTTATGCAATTGTAAGTTAAGAGGCAGTCAGAAGGGGACTCTAGTTGTCTCCTGAAAAATAAACCACTTGAATGCGTAATAGTAAGTGAAAGAGGCCAATGTGAAAAGGCTGTCTGACTCCAACCATATGATATTCTGGAAAAAGCAAAACTATGGAGACAGTGTAAAGATCCACGGCTGCCAGGGGCTGGGGGCAGGGGAGACTACATGAAGCACAGGGCGATTTCAGGGCAGTGGAAACACCCTCTGTGACACTGTAATGGTGGCTACGTGTCATTACACATCTGTCCCAACCCTTAGAACGTACACCACTAAGACTGAATGAACCCTGATATAACCATGGACTTTGGGTGATTATGACGGTCAGTGTAGGTGCACCAGCTATAACAAATGTGCCCCTCTGGTGGGGGATGCTGACAGCAGGAGAGGCTGTGCGTGTGTGGGCAGGGGGTATATGGGGGATCTCTGAAACTTCCTCTCAATTCTACTGTGAGCCTAAAACTGCTCCAATAAAAGAAAAAAAAATTGGAGCTTCCCTGGTGGCGCAGTGGTTGAGAGTCCGCCTGCCGATGCAGGGGACACGGGTTCATGCCCCAGTCCGGGAAGATTCCACATGCCGCGGAGCAGCTGGGCCCATGAGCCATGGCCGCTGAGCCTGCGCGTCCGGAGCCTGTGCTCCGCAACGGGAGAGGCCACAACAGCGAGAGGCCCGCGTACCGCAAAAAAAAAACTTTAAATATTAAAAAAAATTAAATTAAAAGATTTTAAATAAGCCAAAAGGGCCCGATAAGAGGCTGTGTGTGAATGCTAAATTTGTGGCATGATGCTGAATGACTTCAGTTGCTAGCAATCTGCCCCACTGGAGTATTACTATTTTTCAACACTTAAATGTTGAAACTTCCTCACAAATCAAAATCCTGACGAGCCCAAATCAAAGAGGGAAGAGACCTCAGAAACAGCGGGCAGCCGCACAGGCTGTGTGCCTGCCCGGGAGTGTGACCAACCCCAGGGAGACCAGGGGGCAGGCCCGCACCTGCTGCTTCATGGTTTTCGTGTCCCACAGCAGCAGCTTGCCAGGAACCTGGTTAGTGCCCTTGCTGCCGATGTCTGGTGCGGACAAGTCCACCTGGGCAGCAAGGCTCGGAGCTGCAGCTGAACAGACGAAAGAGGCCCCGCTGGGGCTACACGCGAGAGACAGAATCCTGCAACACACGTGGGGCCGGCTCAGTGCTCCGCCCGTCCACAGAGGGAGGGGGAGCGGGGCTCGGGGGCACGGAGGCTTGGCCAAGGCCTAGGTAGGCCCGCCGAGCACAGCAGTTGAGGGAGCGTCCTCCAGCGCACCTGGGCATATCATCGTTGATGCTGATTTCACAGAGGTTCTTCTTGGCTTCCGTGTCATAGAGGCGCACCGTCCCCACACCACTGCCCAGCAGGAGCTGGAAGGAGAAAGGGCGGGAGATGCAAAGGACAGCTCTGGGTCAGGCCCGCTCAGGGAGGCCCACTGGGGAGCCAGGCCCACCCCTGTGCAGTGGGCCAGGTTGCGGGGTGAGGCCTGCCTCCACTTCTCCAGCTAGTTCAGGGGAAAAACCCGGCTACAAAGGACCTCATTTAAAACTTAAAGACGTCACAGGTGACCTTGAACAGAAGCAAAACCACAAAAGGAATGTGTGGAATAGAAGCTCTATTGCTACCTCAGGTAGAGCTGGAAATGAGACCCTCTGCCCAACCCCCCCGTCTTCCAGTTTAAATTCCAGCTGTCCCAGTCCTGCCCTCTGGCTCCGGATCCACCACCACCTCCCTGGGCAGTGGCCCCAGCTGGTCACTGGGCTGGGTGACAGCCCCATTTGTGTATCCTGGGGACAGCTCTGGCTCTGGGCCTACAAAGGCCTCCAGAAAAAACAGAGGAGGCTATCCTTGTGATTTATTTGGTGAAAACTTCAAAGACAATAACAAGGACCGCCAGAAGAAAGCACCAGAAGCAGATCTGAGGGTGTCCCCCAGGAATATTCCCTGGAATATGGTCTCAGCATTCACCTAGCAAACTGACACTGGTACAGGGCGAGCCCCGAGATCCTAGTGCCATAAGGATAGTTCCTGCAGTTGTCAAAAATTATTTAAAAACAAGGTCTGGGCTTCCCTGGTGGCGCAGTGGTTGAGAGCCCACCTGCCGATGCAGGGGACACGGGTTCGTGCCCCAGTCTGGGAAGATCCCACATGCCGTGGAGCGGCTGGGCCCGTGAGCCACGGCCACTGAGCCTGCGCATCCGGAGCCTGTGCTCCGCAACGGGAGAGGCCACAACAGTGAGAGGCCCACGTACCACAAAAAATAATAAAAATTAAAAAAATAAAAAAACAAGGTCTGCTCCTTGGGCTGCTGAGTATGATCCCCTCCAAAATGGAATACGGTGAAAAAAAAAAAAAACACTATCAATCAACTTTATCTCCTTAACTACAAATGCTATGTCAAATATGCTAACCACTGTGGGAACCCCAGGACAGGACACACCCCCTCCGGCCTGGCCAGGGAGGGGTCTCAGCAGGAGGGGGCGCAGCTGAGAAAGCTCGTGGTGCGCTGTCAGAAATGTGCAGGGATGGCAGGAACCGGTGGGGGAGAACAGGCAGGGAGCCGGTCTCTCTGCAGGAAGATGAAAAGCAAGCCAGACCACCCCACGCAGGAAGAAGGCCTCTGCCATCGGACAGGGTCCCACTGCAGCCTAATTCCAATTCCTGTTAATCCAGTAACCTCCAGATAGGAGCCTGCTGGGACAGTCCTGGATGTGTGGTCCCTGCCTTCCCAGTGAGAGAGAGAAGGGAGGGGCTCGTCTTGGAGGCCCCAACCAGGCCTGTGGTGCTGGAGCCACTGGGGAGGGCCCTGGAGAGTTCTTCACTTAGACCACAGGTCCAGCAACAAGCAAGACCACTCACCAGCCTGTCCCGCTTGGTGGCCCACTCTAAAGAGAGCAGCGGCGACTTGGAAATGGAGGATGCCTTGGTCTGCATGATGGGGTTGAAGGACCACACTTTGATGACCCCATCTACGTCTAAGCTGGCGACCCTCCTCCCCGAGCAGTCCACTCTAAGATGAGAGAAAGGGGGACGCTGTTAGCACCCTTGCCTTAGTCCACCCTCCTCTTCAGCGCACCCAGAGGATTGCTTTTCTGATTCTCCTGCTGAGAGTCAAATGCCCACACTCCAAGGACGGGCGTGAACTACTTCTAGAAATATTCATTCGTTCGTCTGTCTGAGAACTACTTACAAAGCATTTATTCAATATCATGTGCTGAGCCCTGTGGGCAAGATGCACACAGCCCCGCCCTCGGCACTCGTGTGGTCTCTAGAGACTGAGAGCCTCCTGCATCACGGCTCCAGAGCCCATCACGTCCATCAGAGCAAGGGATCACCTACCCTCTGGGTGTTACACCCCAGGATCAGGAGTGAAGAGGCTGACCCGGCCAACGGCAGCTCTCGGCAGGACCCCAACGGCAGCTGTCCAGCCCTCCTCTGACAGTTCAGGGGTGACCACGGTCCCTCCGGGCCATCCCACCCTCCGCATCTGTTACCTCTCATCATTCTGCTTGCCACACCTTCACACGCACAGCCTGAAAACCGAGGCTTCCCGGGGAGCCCAAACCCCACGCCATCAGCCTTTCCCCCAGAGGGCCCTGGCCCCGGCCGGCCCGACACCCACCTGCAGTGCATGATGGAGGAGTGGTGCTCTGCGTACTCTTCCTGCCCCAGCACGATGAACGGCTGCTCGGGCCGGACCCCCCCACCCTCAGGGCCTGCGGCGGGAGCCCGCGCCAGGGTCTCCAGCACCTCCACGTGGAGCTCTGGGCAGGGCTCTGCCTCTGGGCCACCAGCTTCGGGCTTCTTCTCTGCACACTGCACCAAGCAAAGGGGGCACAAGTCAGCTGTGAGGGGTCTGCACCGGGCCCAGCCATTCCCCACATCTGGGGACACACTGCGAGATGTCTGGGATGCAGGCCACAGCCCTCGGGGGAGGATCCTGGTGGTCTCGGGGTCTAAAAGAAAGAGCTCTGAACTACAAGAGCCTGCTCTGCTGGCAGCCCCTTCCTAGAGGCCCTGCTCCTCTCACAGGCCCTGTGGAGGGAGTGTGGGCCACAGGCTCCCGGCCACAGCTGACGAGACTCGGGACACGCACCACCTTGACAGACCAGGCCAATGATAACAAGAATCAGTGAGTGAGTGAGTGCCTACTGCATTCCAGGCACTACGTAAGTATGATTGATGCTCCCCCCAAACATTTCTGATCCTACTATTAACCCCACTTTACAGCTCTGGAAAGTAAGACTGAAAGCAGAAGTTAAATAACTTGCCTAAGATCAAGAGCTGGCCCGGGGTAGGATGCTGATGTGAAGCCGGGTCAGCCAGAGGCAAGCGTGGCCCCTCGCCAGTGCGCTGCCATGTCAACCAGCACCTCCTCCTGGGAGAGGGGTACTGAGAGACTGGGGCGACGGGCCAGGCACAGAGATAGACCCGAGCACAGCAGCAGAGCCAGAGCCAGGCGGGGCACCAAATGGCACCCCACACACCCTACCACCCGGGAGGGCGGCAGCCGCCCGTCTCTGCCTCCCTGGGACAGCAAGTGTTGGCCATCATGATTACTATCTGCTCACCCAGACGTAACCCAGGCCAGGGTGCACCAGCCAGGGCACTCTCTACCACCTGCATGGCTCCTGAGGCTCCTCTAAGCACTCCTTGGGGTCCCAGAAAGAGCAGTTCTACAGCAAAAATGGAATGGAATGGGATGGGATGGGATGGGATGGGATGGGATGGGATGGGGTGGGATGGGATGGGATGGAATGGAATGGAATAGAATGGAATAGAATGGAATAGAATAGAATAGAAGAGAAGAGAATAGAAGAGAATGGAATGGAATGGAATAAACAGAGAAACAGAGACCTCCGAGCTCAGAGAGGTACCTTACGGGAGTGGCTGAGCTCAGGTGCGCCTCTAATCCTACAGCACAGAAGGATTTAAGATCTGAGCCGTAAGGGTCTACGCTATCGAACCAGAACCAGCACAGGGCTGCTAACGCCAAAAAATGCCTTTAAAACAGGCAAGTAGCCTCAATTAGGAGATAAATGGTCAACAAGGTGACTTAGGCAGTAAATCCCTTTTGCCTTCAATCCAGAGTATTTGACCGAAACAGAAGCAGCTTATACCACCAGGAAGAGCAGACCCCAACCCATATCCACTAGTGAGAGGAGTCCCTGAGCTCGTGCGGCAAGGGCCCTGGGCCGCAACACGACGCTGCGTGGACACGTGGCTCTCAGGGCAGCGGCTCCAGCAGGGGGTGCAGGAGAAAGTGATCCTGTGATTGAGCAAGTCTGGGAGATGCTGGGTTAAACCAAGGGAAACAGGTCTCTCTCCCACCGACTCTGAGCGCCCGTGACAATGCTAACACGCACAGTTAACCTAAGGGAAGGACAGAGCATGCAAGGGGTCCAAAACCAATTATTCACAGAGCTCATCTTCTGGGAACATTTTCAGAGGCCAGCATTTTAAGGCCCCTGTTTAGGGAAACACTCCATCGGGAAGAGGGATCACTGGAGAGCTCGGTGGTTGTGGAACAAAACAACCAAAGTGCAAGCAATTAAACCCAGTTAGGCAAAACCACACTCTACACAGCAGAAGAAATCAAGAGAGGTAAGAGCAGGCCCTACAAGGCCCCCCCCCCCATTTTCCATGGCCCTCCACCATGTGGCCGCGTGGTGTCCCTGCAGGCGGTCGTGAGACGCCAAGGCCAAGCCATACCTGCAGAGTCATGGAGAAGAGCTCCTTCCGTTCCTTGCCATGGTCCTGCAGGCGCCGCTGGCGGTGCTGTGACCAGCTGGACTCCCCAGTGGCCAGCCCGCTGAAGAGGCTCTTCCCGTCCTTGGGCACACATGCTGGCTCCCTACCCTTGGTGCTCTGGAGGACGAGACACCAGGCTGTGAAAAGTCTCTTCCTACCTGGGCCCAGGCCATGACACCTGGGCCAGGAGGGGAGCAGGGGCCAAGGAGTGGACTCTCCCCTTACTCCTGGGTAAGGTTCCTCCCTGGCCATGCTGAGAAGTAGTTAAAATGTTACTATGTCAGCCCATGAGCAAAGTCAAGGGCAAAACATAAGCAGGCTGGACCTCCTCCTTTGTGTTCCCCACTCCCCCATCCTGAGGACAGGTCCCCAGCACTTCTCCACCCGCCACACCTATCACCTGGAATACATACATATCTCCTTGATCTAACTGGAACTGTTAACTTTATTTAGCTTAGCACTTACTAAGTGACAATTATGAGGCAGATCAGGCCCTACGCTGGGTGTTACAAAGATTTACAAGCAATTATATGTTTGGGCAATACAGCAAAAAAAATTATGCAAAATAAAATCACCCCTCTGGAGGGAAAAAGGAACACAGTACCCACTTGTTTTGGGCCAAGTGCATGACTAAACCAGCCAATGTTAACAAATATTGAGGTATTTGGAAATGATTACTAGGCAACCAGAAAGTCTTAACAGAAATTGTTGGAAACTCAAGGCCTTTTGAGCAAGATAAATTGGACAAGAGAGAAATTGGCATCTTCTGGCTCCTTTTCATAGCAAGAGAGATAAAGTCAACCAAGGTTACAGCAAGTGAACTCAGTAATTCCCACTCCTATAGAGACTGAAGATTCCTAATCTAGAGCTTTTTAAAAAGGAGCTGCCACCTCATCACCTTTCCAAATTATCTGGCTGGTTTCTTTTATTCCACCCTTATTGCCACAAATTGTGATGGTCACACTCCTACCCCCCCAACACACACCTTTTTTTTTTTTTTTTTTTTTACACTCTTAGCAAAGGGATAGGATGCAAACAGCCTCTCTGGTTTGAGACCAACCTCCTCACAAATCATTTGTACACAAGTCCTAAGTAAAGAGAATAAACTCAACCAAAGTCTATTTGTGGGCTTCCAGTTCTTCTACTGGTTATTTTTTTTATGTTAACACTAAACAACTTAAAATGATTAACGTATGTTCCTTGGGACCCCGGAGTCATGTGAACAGTTAAGAAAGGAAATTTTAAAGGCTATTAGTTTACCTGGAGCCTAACTGTGGCTGACCTACACAGGATTGGTTATTTTTGGTTTTCTGACTGAGGCGACCTCCATTGGTATCTACTTGTGCTTGTAACAGATGTTTTCTCTAGAAAGAGTATTTGATTCTCTGAATTCTGACTTATTTTGGGAAAAGTAAAGATCTTAGTTAAGATTTTTTTAAAAAAACCTAAGAAGAAAACCAACAACACTAATAACATCAAGATATACTACTCATTGAACATTTGTCATGTGTAAGGTGCCAGGCTAAGAACCTTACAAACATTCCCTTAAAGATGAGGCATTATTTAACATGGGGAGCAGATGTTTAGAGAGGTTAAGTTACTCGTTTAACACAGGGAGAACTTGACAGAGCCGGAATTTACATCCAGATCTGACAGTGGCCCCAAACTCTGAGAAACCTGAAGAAAGAAAAACCATGATGGGAGCACATGGAAGAAAGTGACACTGAGGAGAAAAGATAAGAAGAAATGTCATAATCCTGGAGCAGAATAACAACCAAGATAAGGCCCTTCTCTCAGTGCTTCCAGCCATTCTTGAGAAGTATCCCGTGGTCCACGGAACACTGAATAGGTCCCACAGTTTTAGAAAGTGGAAGATGACTCCCGTTACCTTCCCAAAAGTAAGAGGTGGTCCTGAGGTTAACCATGGTCCCTCACACGGTCCCGGGGTGGGTAGTGGGGTCGGGGGTGGTTGACTCCCTAGGAGGAGATCCAAGGATGCCAACCTTCATTACACAAATCTATTAATTCCTCCCTATATCTACTGATCCAGAGGGCAAACTGCTCAGACTAAAGAATTCCACAGGGGAGGCTATACTTATATCAGACAAAATAGACTTTAAGCCAAAGACTGTAATAAGAGACAAAGAAGGCCATTGTATAATGATAAAGGGGTCACTCCAACAAAAGGATATAACATTTGTCAGGCTTCCCTGGTGGCGCAGTGGTTGAGGGTCCGCCTGCCGATGCAGCGGACACGGGTTCATGCCCCGGTCCGGGAAGATCCCACA